GCAAGGCTAGTAAATTATTAAAAATACAACAAGGGAGTACAATATCTGAATCATTCACACAGACAGATTTACAACTTCCACATGGTGATTTAAACCTAACACACTAATAATTGTATTAAATCACAGAGGTTTTTGAAATTCTGTGAACATACTGATATTATTGATATATCCTAACCTTTAACTAACTTCTTTACACAATTCTTTACCAGAAGGCTATTTTCCAGTCCTTTTTTTATCATGTCCAGCACTGTTGCACACTGTATTTTTAGGACTTATTATTCATTTTATATTATTTATTTCTGTCTCATCATTTCAGTGTTCTTGATTCTCTCTGAAAGGTGCTACATAAATAAAGTTTATTATTATTAAGTGGTACCTGGACGATGTTGCTGTGAAAGGTTCAGTAGCCGTTATTATCTTGCAGGAATCAGTTGCATTTTAAGCTTAGGAAATTAAATTGGACTGACTTTGTAACCTCAAACAATAGCATTGTTTTCCTCCATGTTTACATAGATTGCTTCTAGGAGAAAAAAAATAAAGGAATAACATAACATTCCTAAATTGAATTCCTTCTTATAGCCAATGGATGTGATAAATAAATAATAAATAATATGTTATATTATAATCATCTTTAAACACAAACTGGCCAAAATTATTCTATAATTTTCATACACTTCTACTCCTCTCTTACAGGTGACATGCACTCAAGCTACTTTGTAGGTTTCCATCTAATGAAGCCATAGCTTGACGCTCTATCATCCCTCTCGTCCGTATCCAAATCCACAAAAAAATAAATCCGGGAGACCACTTGTAAAGTTAAATTCTTTACTTTAAGTCAAAAAGGTGATACAAAATAAAATCTTTTTCACTTACAATATAATACAAATCAATATACAGAACAGGAGAGATAGAGAAAAAGAGAGAGGTCAAAAAACTGTGTGGCTCCACTCTCTCTGCTTGTCCGAATGGCTTAATTACCTCTTGGCCACGCCCCTAAACTAATAAGTAACACAATAAGTTCGAAGACATTCAAATCAATTGCAAATGAAATGTACATATATATACTTATTACCACATATTTTAAATCTAAAGAATCATACAATTAACCTCTATCATTACTGCAAATATTCTAATTAC